CACATTACTATGACGATCTAATTTGGCTTTTAATTTCCTGTCTTAATGTCCCATAAATTTTTAGACTTATCAGCACTCCCTGATGCTAATAGTGTACTGTCGGGTGAAAAGCATACTGAATATACAGTACTACTATGACCATTGATATTGGCTATTTATTATTTTTTCTTAACATCCCACAAGCGAATAGACTTATCATAACTCCCAGATACCAATGTTGCTCCATCAGGTGAGAAGTTGATTGAATATACAGTACTATTATGGCCATCTAATTTGGCTTTTTTATTTCCTGTCTTAACATCCCACAAACGGATAGACTTATCAGCACTACCTGATGCTAACATAATACCATCAGGTGAAAAGCATACTGAGTATACGCTACAAACATGGCCATCTAATTTTGTTTTTTATTATTCTGTCTTAATATCCCATAAGCGGATCGATTTATCATAACTAACGGATGCTAATGTCTCATCTGAAGAAAAGCTTACTTACCAAACAACACTACTATGACCTTCTAATTTTGCCTTTTACTATCCTGACTTAACTTCCCATAAACGGATAGAGTAATCAGAACTACCGGAGGCTAAGGTAGTACCATCAAGTGAGAAACATACTGAATTCACACTGCCACCATGACCAGCTAATTTGGCTTTTTAATAACCTTTCTAAAAATCCCACAAACGAATAGATTTATCATCACTTCCCGATGCTAATGTAGTTCCATCAGGAGAGAAGCATACTGATTACACAGCACAACTATGGCCATCTAGTTTGGCCTTTTCTTATTCTATCTAAACATCCCATAAACGGATAGAATCATCATCACTTCCAGATGCCAGTGTCTTGCCATCTGGTGAGAAGCATACTGATTATATAGTACTATTATGACCATCTAATTTGGCTTTTTAATTTCCTGTCTTAACATCCCACAAACGAATAGACTTATCATAACTCCCAGAAGCCAAAGTTGCTCCATCAGGTGAGAAGTTGATTGAGTATACAGTACTATTATGACCATCTAATTTGGCTTTTTAATTTCCTGTCTTAACATCCCACAAACGGATAGACTTATCAGCACTACCTGATGCTAATGTAATATCATCAGGGGAAAAGCAGACTGAATATACAGTACTAGTGTGAGAGACTAATTCGATATTTTATTACCCCGACTTCACATCCCATAAACGCAAAGTGTTATCAGAGCTGCCTGAAGCTAATGTAGTACCATTAGGTGAAAAGCACAATGAATATATAGTACTATTATGACCATCTAATTTGGCTTTTTATTATTCTAACTCAACATCCCATAATCGGATAGAATTATCAGAACTACCAGATGCTAATGTAGTACCATCAGGTGAAAAACTGACTGAATATATAGTACTACTATGACCATCTAATTTGGCTTTTTATATTCCTGTTTGAACATCCCATATTCTCATAGAGTTATCAGAACTACCTGATGCTAATCTAGTACCATCAGGTGAAAAACATACTGAATATACAGTACTACTATGACCATCGAATTTTGCTACTTATAATCCTGTCTTAACATCCCATAAACGGATGGAGTTATCATTACTTCCAGAAGCTAATGTCCTACCTTCAAAAGAGAAGCACACTGAATAAATAGTACTATTATGACCATCTAATTCTGTTTTATACTATCCTGTTTTAACATCCCATATATTAACAGAATTATCACTTCCAGATGCCAATATACTACCATCAGGTGAGAAACATAATGAATAATGAGTTCTATTATGACTTTCAATTTCGGCTTATAATTCTCTTTTGTTAACATCCCACAAACGGATTGACTTATCTGCACTACTAGATGCTAATATAGCACCATCAAGCGAGTAGCATATTGAATATACAGTTCCACTATGACCTTCTAATTTTGCTTGTGCTTATCCTGTCATAACATTCCATAAACGAATAGACTTATCTGCACTACTAGAAGCTAATGTAGTACCATCAGGAGAGAAACAGACTGATCGAACATAATCAGAGTGACCATCTAATTTGGCTTTTTATTATATTGTTTTAATATCCCATAAACGGATAGAGTTATCTGAACTACTAGAAGCTAATGTAGTACCATCAGGAGAGAAATCGACTGAATAAACTTAATCTGAATGACCATTTAATTTTGCTTTTTATTATCCTGTCTTAACATCCCATAAACGGATAGAATTATCATAGCTACCAGATGCTAATGTAGTACCATCAGGAGAGAAATCGACTGAATAAACTTAATCTGAATGACCATTTAATTTTGCTTTTTATTATCCTGTCTTAACATCCCATAAACGGATAGAATTATCAAAGCTACCAGATGCTAATGTAGTACCATCAGGAGAGAAACAAATTGAATTAACACAACTTGAATGACCATCTAATTTGGCTTTTTATTATCCTGTTTTAACATCCCATAATCGGATAGAATTATCAGAACTACCTGATGCTAATATAGTGCCATCAGGAGAGAAACATACTGACTAAACAGTACTACTATGACCCTATAACTAATTCAGTTCATTTATTTTTATGTTTGTCCATTTACAATTAAATAACTATGCTCCACTCAAGTTCATTCCACTAATGTCTACATTATAAAAAACAGATTAGCTCAAATTACATCTCACAAAATTTGCCTTTCTCAATGAAGTATCTTGAATTCTGATATTTTCAAAGCATTATTCTTTTAGATCTATCTACATTTCTACTAATAGATTAAGGGAATTAGATCCACATTAAATTAAACTCTCATCTATGGCAGTAAGGTGAACTATAAATTTTAATAATTCAATAATATCATTTTCTTTCGCTATTTTAGTAATTAATTTTTTTCTAGTTTCCTTATATTCTTCTGCTGAATAGTTTTTATTATAAAAGTCAAGACCATTAAT